GATCATCTCTAGCATAGCCATAGTCTCTGTAACTCCTTCATCTTGCTGTTTTAATGTACAAACATATGATCACACAACTTCCTGAGCAGATATGGTACATAAGAATACAATCTTAGGTGAGGACAATGTGCATACTATCGTAATTCGATCAGTACATATATATGGAATGACATGCACAAGTGGACGCCACAGCACGCCACTGAATCTTCGAGTTGACCGGCAAATGCCGGCGCGTCTGCCGCGCATTGCCGGTGGCCACTCAGACTCTACACACTGTCTTACACGACGAACAGCTCAAAAACGGTTCCGCCAATTCCTTAGAAAATTTGGGACGGTATCAAGGAGGGGTATAGCTATCACCTGGCCAATTCTTGGACAAAACGGTTGAAAACTAGTTTAACTTACCTATGTTAAACTTTGGTACCACTGGCTAAAATTTGCTGGCTGAGTGTGACTTGGTGTCTTCGAGTTGCTGCTTGAAGTAGCAGAACTAGAATCTCGAGCAGCATTGTCGACGAGGCTCCCCGTACGGGTTAGGCCGAGGAAATTGAGCACCTGGTCGAGCATTAGAAGCGGTGAATGTCAGAGATGAAAGCGAGGGCTGGGATGAATTTAATTATCCCCACCTTCGAGTATAAATACTATTTTGTCTGGCTGCGATTTATATTCAATGAGGAGAGCATCGGCTAATTTGACAAGACAATTCCATGTCATTTTCGGCTGAGCCTTGTAGCATGAGGCGGTTCATGGTGAATGACAGCGGAAAAATATATCCATTGCACGCAGCATGCGTCTTCACAAGCATTAGCAGCATCAGCCTCCTGTCTTTCTTCCTCTTAACCAATAAAAAAAGACTTACACATTCGAAATAATGAGGTTAGTGTGTGGCGATGAGGGTTCAGGTCGGTGATGCTTTGGTCCTCCTCATAGGCAATGATCGGGCACAATGTTGGGTGACAGCCGGTCACCGAGAGTATCAAATTGATAGTTTCATCGTAATGCATTTCTGGTAACCATAAGACAGAGACATAATAGACTACATATTTCTCCAAAAGATACAATTTCGCACAAGCCAAAACTCAAGTCCAGCAGTGATGACCAAATCCGGCAAAGAAGAAGCAGTGTCAGACCACCCAAGATTGCAGTAACAGATTGGCACGATGTCCAATAGTCAGAGAACAGCCCTCCAGATACAGCTTTTTGTTTGACAGCGAAGTTAGGTCCTGGTAGCACTGGTATCACCGGTGAGCACAGCATTAAGATTGAAACTCGGATGAAATAACTCGAGGACAGCAACAGTGGACAAATCCGACGTAAACGAGGAGCTCAAATGTAAGAATCATGCCTACTAGACTCAGAAAGGTTCGTAGATACAAGGAGTGTGTGGTAAACGTAGAGAGTCGCGGGGGCGAACGAGGTACGGACGTCGACGTCAGGGGAGATTTACCAGTGGCGCAAGCAAGATCCTTCAAGCGTGGGAAAAGTAAACGGGAGATTGCGGGCCTCACTTGGCGCGGAAATAAGTGAGCGAAAAGCAACTTTATGCGTACTCATCTCCGTCGCACTTTATTCTTTCGATGACTGACAAAGTGTAACAAACGATCGCGACCCAGGCCATATCATCGACGAAATAGCAACATATGTTCCATGTCCGCTTCCAACTCGTCTCTCATCAACTAGTTCCGCTTCACTCAGAACTAGAGAGACGAGCGACGCCGCAACCAGATTCACTCGCTGCGTTATAACAGGTATGTACGTCTCCGTACCCCCCTCACGACCTTCTGTACTTACTTCATCCTTTTCTCTACCAAAGTGTCTTCTAATTCACTGTTGGCACGATCTACCACTTGGCCGTTTGTGCAGCGCGGGCGTCAGACCTGGGTGCCACACTCTTCCGAGCTCGTATATGAGTTCCCAATATGCTTTCCTATGCAAATTCATGGTGTTCTCTGATCAAAGAGTGTCATAAAGCGTGGTTCACGGTAAGGAAAGGAAACGTGGTGAGAATGTTAGCGGAAGAAGTAGATGGTTGAAGGTTCGGTGGAGTGAGAACGTCAAGGTGGTACGTCTCTTTTTACCCACTTCGTATCATCATTCGTCTTACCCGAATCTCTTTCATCGACCGTTGAATATCGTTTCTCCATTGTGTTGGGGCGTCTGCGGTGACGTGGCTATGTTTTAGCTGACGATCGGACGCGCGTACAGTCTTTCCTCCGCTTGTCACTTGAAACAATTCCCCAAATGAAAATCTACGTACGGACGCTCGCGGATACCTTTTCCACGAATGGTTCATCAACCGACCAGCGGCCGATCTGATAGTTCGATGATGGGCATGGAGACAGACGAGGGCAGAGGGCAGGGTTAAGTCATCTGAAGAAGCTCTGCGCGGATGAGTGGGAGCTGTATGCGTGTTTTTTCAACTCGGGGGAGGACGACCCTTGGTGCGTTTCTTTTCTTTCACTTCTTTTCTCATATTTCTGTGTGGGTATCTCGTTCGCTTCTTCAATCCATGATTTCCTTTTGCTCCTTGTTCGTTTTCGCTTCAAGTTTATTGGTCGCTGACTTTCCTTCCACCGCGCCGCTTTATATCCCCATTGTCCATATTTCGTTAGGGTCACTCATCCAGCCCTATCGCGAACGATGTCACCAACCGCCAGACATCCATTCGCGGTGCTCGCCTCTCGAACCCATCTACCTACCTACCTACCCTCCCTCCAACTTGCCTTCCTCAACTACGGAACGAAGCATCCAAAGCGCTACCAAGTAAGTGTTTTTCTCTCGCATATATGCGTGCTGTATGGATCTCACCTTGGACGAACAGGCGGAATATATACACTCCTCCGTCGTCTTTGGGCTGCTAATTCTCTCGATCTTATGTACGTCTTCTCCTTTCCTCGCTCTTCTCGCATGGAATCTGAGCTTGGATCAACGCATATATCCACTTCCTCCCTTCCTCCCTGAGCCAGGCGTATGTGTATGTCGGTCTCGCGTTCTTGTGTACTGTTGCGAAGGTGGGTCGAGTCGTCTATGCGTATACGATCGTCGTCGTCCCCGTCTACATAATACCACCTCTATCCCCACCCCATGCTTCAACATCAACACTAAACTCGTATGACGCATCCATTTCTTCTCCACACTCCCCCGAAGAGAATGAATCTCCATCGTCGTCCCTCGATCGTTTCTCTTTTCCCTCTTCCCTCTTCCCGCACAACTCTCATTCACTCACACTCGTTCTCCTATCTGCTCCCGCATTTTCAGGCTCAAGCAGACGTCCAACACCTCTGGTACGGCCATCGCGCCTGCACCCACATCCGGACCGAGCCCATGGCGAGCATCTACGACAAGGCGCTTAAGCGGAAAGATTTCTCCGGGATCGTGGATCAGGACGCGTTGGCGAGTAAAGCGTTGGCGGCGGATGATGCGCGGGTTTTGCGTGCTTCTTCTCAGTCCAACTCTGCTTCTGGTGGTGGTGGTGGTACTTTGACGACGGGTGCCAGTGCGGGAACGAAGCAGATGAGCAAAGAGGAGAGGAAGAAGGCGGAGGATAGGAGGGACGAGAGTAAGGCGGGGGCGGACGTGGGGAAGATTGTGAATTTGATGGCGGGGGATGCGAATCGGGTGAGTCCCTTTCTTTGTCTTTGTGGTTCATGGTTTGGGGAGTGCGGTTGGGAGGTTTAGGTTTGGGAGTTAGTGTTTGTGTTTTCGTGGGGTGAGGTGCTGTGCGTTTGCGTTGTTCTGCCCTTGCGGGGGATGTTAGAGTGAGAGGTGAGGAGTGGGGGGACCGTGCAATTATTTTCTTTCGTCGCTAGCATACGGTCGGATGGAAAGACAAGGGTGCGGGCGCGGGTGCGCTCGTTCGATCGTCCCGACCCCTCTTCAGACTTCGTTCCGAATGTTGTGACCTCTCTTCCGTCCTTCCGTACGGGCCCCCCTCCCTTCGTACATTGAGCGCCCGCTCGCCTTTCGCTGCGTTCCTACTGGAGTGTTTCATCTATCTGTTTTCATTCTGGCTCTTGTTAGCAGTGTGCTTGGGTGTATTGATGATCGCTGATGATGTTCGGTGTTTGGTTTATAGTGCGCGATGATGATATCGGGGATATATTTCATCTATGGAGGTACGTCTGCTTCTCCTTTTATTCAGCAGGATGTAGAAGATGCGAAAGAGCGGAAAGGAGTGTGTGCCGACGTGTTCATGTGTTGTAGCGCCGTTCGAGATTATCATCACCAGTGTGTTTTTGTACCATTGCGTTTGTTACCTTTTTTTTGGGTTCTGCCTCTTTATCCTCTGTTGTGTCCCTGTCCCTTTCATATTTCTGTCCACGTTTAGCGCTAAAAGCGACTGAATGCTACCACACGGTCTAACGCTCCGTCCTCTATCCATTTTATGTACTCCCACCTCCCCCTACTTCAATTCTCCACCCGTCCTCTAAATTCTTAATGCGCGAAACTGACTCGCTCCGCACTCTTACTCCTAATACAGATTACTTGGCATCTCCGCCTTCGCCGGCTTCATCGTCCTCCTCCTCGGTTGGCCACTCAATTCGTTCATTGCCAGGAGGAGCATAAGGATCCAGAAGGGCCTAATGGCGGCGAGGGATAGGAGGGGGTGTTGAATGAGTTGATTGGCGCGGTAAGTTCGTCGCGAGGAGGATCACGGGATTGGGATGGCACAGACGTTGATTCGTTTATGTAGGTCACGTTTATCAAGTTCTTCGCATGGGAGGATCGTTGAATCGAACGTGCGCTCGACGCGAGGGAAGCCGAGATGAAATGGACGATCAAAGTTCCGTTCCCACTCCTTCCACCCAACCCACTTCCCTGACTCTTCTTCATACACCGCACACCTTTTCCACTGATTTCGAATTGCCTGTACCTATACTGACTTCCACCTTTGCTTCTGTTTATTTCGGTGTGTCGACGTACCAATATACGCTCTCCCTCTTCTCTGTATCTTCTCTTTTGGCTTTCTCACCCTTGAAGAAGATCAGGATGGTTGCTCTACCCAACCTTGAGTCATCCGCAACGCGACTTCCTCTCCTCCCCTGCCTCCGGCTCTCCGTAGCAGAGATGGCACCAACGCCGAAGTCCTAATTCTCAGAGTGCAAGCGAAGATGTAGCAATAATAACGGGATAATAGATTGAGAAATTGTGCTCGCTTTGTGGGCCATTAAAGTCGTGCCCCCCATGGGACACTTCCAATCCATGATGAAAGATTGTCGGAAATCAACATTACACATTCACGTATCGCGCAAGGGGAATGAAAGGAAGGAAAAGGTCCTTCACAATCCCTAGAGTACCTATCTATCCTCGTCCATGTCCACGTCCACCTCTTCCTGACCCCAAATTAAACCAACATTGCTTCAAAGTCTCCTCCCTGTCCCACACGCCCTCCTAGAGTATGAGTACGTATGTCCACAAACCCCTCCCATCCCCATCCAAGGCGCAGATCCTATGCTCGTCGGCCTTAGAAATCCGATCCCACCTACGCTGAACTTTGTCCCGATATCACCAGAACCAGCGGTGGTACTTCCAGTGCCACTGACTGCAACGCTCACTCCAACGTCAATACTGATCACACTCAGTAGTTTGTTTGTACCTTCAGTGTCAGCGACAACTAGACCCTCACCCGTCCCAGCAGTGTCGACGCAAATGCCACAACTATCGCCACCATCAGTAATTCCTTTCTCAAGCACCTCAGCAACTCCTCCTAGGACGGCACTCTCAACGCCAACTCCAACCGCATCCGTGCTCCCATCCAGACCACAAGTATTCGCACCGTGACGGACCTTCCTCTCCTCCGCCTCCTTCTCAGCTGTATCTCTTGCCTTGATACGAGCGATGATTTCTCGTGCCTTGCCGGTAGGCTTCAAGGACAAGCTCCTCTCGGTTGCGCGAATCGCGGCGGTCACGGTGGGATTCGGGGAGAATGATTCGAGACCAATGCGAGAACGGAAGTCGACGGGTTGTTTCTCGGCAGAGATGAAAACTGGCGTCGGCGGCGTTGGTGGGATCTTCGCTGTCGCGTCCAAGTCCTGCATTTCCGCATTCGTTCCAACCTTCGTATCTTCCCTCTCCGCCTTCATTTCCAGCTTCGAACCAGCCCACATTACTCCCGCCTCTCCCGCTTCTACATCCCTCTCGGTCACCTGGGCAGGGAAACTGTTCCTCCCTTTCTTCCACCCCTTCGCCACCCCCGAAGCATACAATATCGCCCCATCGAGACCCGCCCTAGACTGACTCGCCTTCGGATTGATACCATAGATCGAACGAAAGGGGCCGTTGTTGTTTGTATTAGCGAGCTTTGAGACCATCGCCGGGGGAGCGGAGGTGGGAGGTGTAGATCCAACCACGGTGGCTGGGGTTCTGCGTCTATTATCTGAGTTGGTCGACGCTTGAATGGGTTTCGATAGAGCAAGTTCGGGCGATGAAGACTTCTCTGGTCCCGTGATGGGCGTACGGAGACGAAAAGTAGAGGGAAGCGAGGAGCGAGGTTTGCTAGGCATTGATCCGCTCTGATCGTAGCTTAGGTACGAAACAAGGAATGGTGCGTTTGCGGATTCTGGACTTGAGGAATTAGCGCCATGGGTGGACGAGGACCGTGGGCCGATAAAGGTAGGGGGCGCTCGACAACGGATGCTTGAGGCCGTGAGAGTCGAGACTTTGGTAGAGGCGGTATATGTGGGGCTCTGGTCTGATGATGAGTAGCTGGTGAGATGACCAGTGGAGGAATTACGAGCATTGTGCGTGGACGGAACACCGGTGGCGAAGATTGATGTGGCGTTGGACGAAAGGCGAGACACGGTAGTGGAAGGCGAAAGAGTCTCAACTCTCGAGGTCGCAGATCTAGCTTTGAATGTAGACGCTAGACTAGCGGGAGTTCTAACCTCAGGAGTGCCGGCGGAAAAAGCACGTTGGGTACGGGAGAGGTTTGATTCATCGTTATTTGACGGTCTAGTAGCAGGAGCCAATGCGGGCACAGAGGACGAGCGAGAAGGATCATCGACAGGGGAAAGGTTAGCGGCAGAAGACGAAGGCTTGGAACACAACAGATTGAGACTGATATGTGATCCCTTGACTGGACTTGTGGACGCCGCTTCAGAGATGGAAGAAGACGATGACGTTGATAAAGGTGGAAGTATCGCTCGAGAAGTAGGTGGCGAAGAAGCAGGCTGTGGTGAGCGTGAGCGGATAGGGGAAGAGGATATGGCGACCAACTTCGTGATGCTGACAGAGTTGTTGGTCGAGATAGAAGACCCGATGAGGCCAGTTTGAGTACATATATCGAGCACAGAAGATATCCCAAGCCCGATCTCGACTTCATGTCCGGCTAGATCTTTGGGACCAATATCCTTTTGTTGCAAGTCATTCGTCGCTGATACAGAAGCATCTTCGACATCGGTAGGGTCATCTTTCGGCGTGCAAGGGGGGCGCGAAGTCGTCATAAGCCCAAGCCCTGAGGGAGAGACGGCCACCGCCACACTGATGGTATGTGTGGTGCAAAAGTCCTTGAGCGAGTTTATTGCAGTAGGATGGGGTGAGATGCAGGACGGTGGTGGTGCTGGGATTGAGGGCGATGTTTCGTGGGAGGGAAAAGAAGGGAGGATGGGATCTTCGACATCGGGCTGAGCAATAGACAAGGAGCAGTACGTAGAGGCAACTTCGGCCGTTGAAAGAGTAGAGCTAATAGTGGTAAACGTGCATGTGTCGGCAGAGGGATAATTCTGGCCCCGAGTGGTCGATTCGACGACTCCGGGAGAAGGTACGGGCGGCGTCGATGAGAAGGAGCTGTTGGCGCTAATAGAATCAATAGTGTCGGGGCCAGAGTTGGAGTCAGAGCACGGAGTGTTCGGTTTAATAAGTCGGAAATGCTCGTGTAAGATGCTTCCAACCTAGGGAAAGATGAGTACTCCGCACAGAACAGGAGAGAGAAAGGGACGCACCACGAACGACGTGCATGGCGTCTCTGGCAGTACCAAAATCTGCGCATCTAGTCTCACCGATAGATCCGCAAGTGATAGTTTCGCCAATTCGCTTTCATCGCTGATATCAAAACCAGACACAAACTCTCCTATGGTCATCAGAGCCTCTAAGTCATCCGTGGAAACTCGATACCATTGCGCCCCAGAGTCGGAGCGTAAAAGTCGCTCTGATTCGAGTTCAGCGTTTCCAAGTGCGACATGAAGTAGTGCAGAGCATAGTAGCTCGGTAAAGAGCGAGAGATCCTTGTCTCGTCGTAGTGGAGACGGCGAGCGAACAGAGTGCAGCCGAGGAACAGAAGGCGAGTCTTCGTATTGAGGAGAAAGAATGTGAGCGATGTCGCCTAGGTTTGTGAACCGCCCGTCAAGCAGTGATATAGAGACCATGATAATCGGGTATTATAGTGTGGTATGGGATAGGATGGCGAGTTGGAGGTACGGTTGACAGTTGTGAATGCGGCGGTGGTCAAAGACGAAAAGTGGGCGCTCGCGCCACACCAGAAGTTGAACCGCGCCACAAACCGAGCCATGCAACGTGGCAAACGACGAGGACTCGGCTGATGAGCTGATCTCTTTCTCAACCATCGACTAGTTGTGCACTCGATTTCGTCTGATGACTCTTGTCTACCGCTGGCGTGTTGCTCCGTAAATGAGTTCTAACAGGTTCTAACCTTGCCTCACCAGCGGTGACGTGTCCCGTCACGTTTATATACTTCCCGTCATCCCCTCTGATGTGCTCTGATCGATACTTTTGAGCAAGTCTCGATAAATACTCGACCTTTAGGAAGGCGATTCGTAGGCGATCCGTATCTTCTTACCGGGAAATATTTCCTAGACATACTTCGCGGAGATGCTCCTGAGAAGCTATTGGCCACAGTACAAGTCCTCGTCTCCATGATGCACCACCACTGTTTCTCTCCTCAGGTCTACTATGCATAATATCAGTCACTCTGTGCTTTTATGCACCGTGGGTCTGCCTTGTGTCACGCCTATCGAACCTTCTTGACCGTCGCCAGTGTCTCAGTGCCACCTATGTCCTATATCTGACGAATTTCACTCCGCACGGACCAAGTGAAATAAACTGTGAGTTAGCCAAAGGACACATCCTCTCTGATACTGACCCTTTTAACCCCGCCCATCGTCCACCATCCCCCAGCCTGTGACACAGCAATGGATACCGTTGCTTTATGGGCGTTATTCCGAAGTTTGAATAGATGAGAGCTCGCTTGCAACTTGTCTGGGAGAACGTGAAAGATAAGCCGTATACCGCCTAATAGGCGGACATATTAGGTTCAATCAAACGTGGACGCTTCTACAAGGACTCAGTTGGTGATGAAGGCAGGATTCGCAGAAGAATCCCAGTGGCTCCAGCGGTAATTATGTCGTGCCCCTCTCTCGTTGTGGATGAACCGAAAACAACTCACCAATTTTCTTCTACGCGTACTAGATCTGAAGAGGGCATGTGGCCACGACGTATCGTACATCTCTATACGACGAGTGCCGAAGAATTTGTGGATGTGGGAGCATTTCCGAACCGAATTTCTCCTTGCTAGCCGAACCGTTTCTGGAGCCCCTAAGGACGTAGAGTATCTCAAGCATTATGGCTTGAAAAGGATGGACCAGGCCGCGCCCACTTACCACGCCATCCTTGTCGTGGCAAGGAAGGTCCGGCACTGTGTTTCGAGAGCCAGACGTTTGAAGTAAGCTCCCACATATCTTACCTCAAGAAATTGCGCTCAACTAACCACGTAATCATCAGACCTTCGCTAATTCGAACTCACAGAATCTGCGCAGAGAATGCCTGGACGCGTTAACGACATTCCATGTACGACAGCAACCTAGATAAAACGACCATCACCTGCGTGGTCTCTTACGAGGCGGATGCCACACGCAAAGCCCTCGCCGCTCATGACCGCAAGGATTTAGTCGAGAACTACGATTGTATTACGGCAGGATATATCGGTACGTTTACAGCCCCGTCACCGAACTAATAACATGCTGGGATTCAGCCGTTCCACAGTCGAGACGGTATCTAGAGCGTATGTGGACAAGCGCCAACCTTGGGGAGGGTTTTCAGTGGGGTGAGGTCCCAATGGGAGCATGTAGATTGTGCGTTGGTCACGTTTGCTAATGTTCGTATTGAAACCAGGTTGCACCATGCGACTCCGAGTTCGCCTCAACCACTATGAACGATGTCTTTACCGCATCAGCACCCAATTACCTGGACTCCCGCTTCGACTGACTTTTGAGCATTCTAGATGTAAGTGTTCATAGCTCCCATACTCATTGGCGCCGGTACCTAAACATGATGAACGCAGCCGTCTCATTACCGACCTTACTACATAGACTATTCTTCCAGGACGTCTGAACGTCTTCTGTCCATCGACGGTTTCCTCATCAGTCTGGATTCCTCTGTTCGCGTTGTCAAAACTTCCACCAAATCCTTCTCTCACTTTTACGGTGCTCCTTTCGGTGTTCCCGCATCCGAGTGGGTAGGGAGAGGGTCCAGTCTCAACATTCGGAATCCGGATGCGTACACTACGTGGATTGTGCACGACTGGGATCTCAGTGGGTCAGAAACCCCTTGCCAGCACGGTTGGTTTGTCGGGAGCGTCTGGGAAAACAAAGTATGTAACACGGGTGATGCGGGTGATTTTAGGGCACCGTGTGGATGTATGTTGACGAACTACTGTACTTTTTCGCGCACAAGTTCACGCCACCGCCCCTCGGCCGTTGCCGAGATGACATAATCCGTTCGTGTCCCGGTTCGCAAGCAGACCGGGACAAGGGACAATGTTCGTGAACATCGACGCTTTTGCAGGGAGACGACCTTTCGTAACCGTTCAACAGGCATTTACCCTCTGAATTTGGGTGAAAGAGCTCACCCAGTAGCAAAATCTAGCCCAACGTGTGTCTCGGAGGCCTTCCTGAGGTCAATTTAGGAGCCTAAAATATATTCACATTTTCGTCAAATTTGGGTCAAATTTTGGTTTGTCCTACTTACAAGTTCCGTGCACGTCAATGGGGTGGGACTGTCCCGCGGCACAGGTTCGTTCTCGGCCCCCATGGGACACGGGACACGAACTTGTGCGCGAAAAACTACAGTACTGTACTATTTCGACCAAGTGTTCGTGGGAGAATTAGGTCAGCCGTGACCACCGCTGAGCCACGGTTCGTTCGGGTGGGCCACGCGTGACGAACAGGCGAAATTGTTCGTGTTCAGGCCCAAAAATTGATTTTTGGCGATTTTTGGCACAAATCGGTCACGATTTTCTGTTCGCGAGCCCCTACGTATGCGTGACCCCGGGACCCACTCTGTTCGTCGACGCACTCTGCGTGATGCGTGACGAACAGTTGGTCGAAAAACTACAGTATTTCATTAGTGTGACATCGTCAGCATCTGTGAAGGCGGAGTGGATGTCGAAATCGTACACGGTGAGCACCGAATCTCCTTACGCTCCTAACCGTCTTCATTCTCACTTATGGTCTACGTGTTGCGCAGTTCAAGGAAAGATGTGCTTCTGCGATCTAGCGCAGTGGTAGTGTAATGCTTGGATCGGCTGTACACTTCTTCGATGGGGAGAATAGGCGGCTACCGAGCTCAAAAAGGCAAGGCTTTTTGATACCAACCTCACGGTAAATGCGATAGTTGACGTGTCTGATAGTGTAGCAATACACCTAACTTCATTCACCTCATCCATACCTGCCTGACTCCGGGACGACGTAAGACAAAGTACCACCCGAAACTATGGAAGTCGATGAGACTCTCACTCGTAAGTCAGTGGACATCGGTTTTTGGCCACCTCCTCCATCAGGATACTTTCACCCACCTAGGGGCTGCCGTACACAAGCCGATGAGATTGTGCCATCCAGTATGTGGACTCATGCCCAATATTTTCTGTCATTCCTCGTATTTTCATGTCTCAAGAACATACGTTCACAATGTGTCGTGAGTCGCAAGATTTGCATTATATGCTCGTGAAAAAAGCTGTCATAAAACGTGAGAGAATCGACCACGCCCGAAGTCTATTGCGAGGTACGAAGGATTGTGGAATGTGGATGAACCGGTTAGACAACAAATTTTCTTTTCAGGGGAGTACCCCTGAGCGACAGCTTCCTGATTTTAAAGTGACGCGCTATGATCATCAACAGAACACCAGCTCCGACGCACGCCTGTAGACAGATTTCGGCCAGTATAAATGGAAGCAAGTCGTCGGGTCAGCAACACGTAGTCCATGATCAAGTTGAAGACCTCGTACCCCGCTGAAGACAGATGGACGAAGCCAAATATATTTGGAAGTGAGGAGGGCACCCATTATTGGCGGACCTGTGGTAAGTTTATAGCGTCAAATTTCTTGGGATTATCTCTCGTACAGCTATAAGCGATGCGCTTACCAACGAAAGTAGCGACACCTTGTTCCATAATGAAAGATATTGTGAGATGGTATACCAGAAGAGTATATATTGACCGGCTTACCTCCAATTGCAAAGCATGTGCCCATGCGGGTCCTGAATCAGTGAGCATGAGCCAAAGTATAGCGCCTGACATGTCAACGTGTACTCACCCGATCTCATTTACACTGTCTGCAAGACCTGAAAGCATAGGTGCCAGTAGTGAAACGTCTACGATCGCAGTACGAGCTTGAGAGTTAGGCAATCTAACAATGATGCTAGTTATGCTTACAAGCACCGGAAGCGAAGCCATAGATGATAGCAATCAAAACAAGACTGGCGACATTCTTCATGACAAGGAACAGGAAACAAAATGCGCCGCAGACGGCTGCGGAGACGATCATCTGATTGTGGACTCCCAAGCGACTGGCAAAGCGGTTTGGAAGTAACCGCCCTGGAAGGTTGGCGGCGTTCATAATGGATATCTTGGGATGTATTCGGCTCGTAATACGAAAGACGGTATGCAGAGACAAAGACTTACAGAGTAGAACGCCAGTGTCGGATCAATACCGTGGGTGACGGCAGACAATTGGAGATAAAATAACGGGAAGTAGCCTCCAAGGAAAAAGAGGAAGTTCCTATCGAGTGAAGTCGGTACATCAGTGACGCATTTTGATGATGGAATAGACACAACGCACCCAGCTACCGCAGTACCATAGTCAGGGTCGAGGAAGAACTGGTACCACTTCTTTGCTGGCGGATCCGTCGCCGGTGTATCGTGGTTCACTTCTTGCTCGACGCCTCGCCGTATCATCAGAACATTAGCAACAATCAACAGGAACCCATTCATTGCGGCGCTGGTGCGAACGCCGTTGTGAAAGCCGACACTTCCGTTGAAAAGCTGATTGAGCATGATGGGGTGAATGATACCACCGACGGCAGCTCCTGATGCGACAATACCCATGACAAAGGTCCGTTTCTTTTCAAAATGCTGTCCAATGACGGCGAGCGATGGGAGGTAGAGAAGTCCTTGAGCGGCCCCTAGACCAATTCCTTGCGCCAGAAAGTTCTTGGGAAAATATTAGTGAATGACCCATGACCGTGAAAAGATTTTAGCTTCATACCTGGTACCAGTGATTAGGCTGCGTCAACGAAATCATGAACAAGCAGAAGATGAAAAGTAAAGATCCTCCAGCGAGCATAGATCGGCTTCAAGCCAATATGTTCAGCGTCCGAATACCCCAATGGTAAGATCACAACTTACAAATATCCCGCATCGAAGATCCTACCAAAAATGAGACCACCGCCAAATACCAGTAGATTGTTCGTGCTCCCTATCCAACTGAGGGTACGATTGAGTCGTCAACAAATGTCGAGAGAAGATAAACTAGTACCTTATAGTGGAGGTAGATTCATTGGTGATGAATTCCCGGGTGTAGAAATCTGACGTGGGGGGAAGCCTCGGTCAGCAGATATTCTGGTTCGTACGGCTTGATATCACGCACCTTGGTATACACCGAAGGCGTTCACGTAGCCCGAGGTAACAAACTAGGAAGATGAATGCTAAGAACTTAACACTTGGCTCTATAGGAGAAGTTAGAACGTACCTGCATGACCCATCTAGAGCACACGACGTCAAGAGCTGTGCATGGTAAGATTATATGTATTATCACTCACGCGGCTATGATGATATCCACATTGTTGATGATTCCTCCTTCAACTTTCTCCAAAGAACCTGAAGGTGTCGTTTCAGTCTCGTCGGTCTTTTCTACAGCAGTCAGTGAGTCTGTCTTCTCAGTAGATGATGGGAGTGCTGTTTTCTCAGACTGGGAGGCGGGCATTGCAGGACCAAGACGATCTAAGAGCGTGCAGTGAGAGGTGAGAGAAGGAAGAGAACCCTTCCGCTGACGCCCAAGGCCTAGTTTGCAGAGTTGTCAGCATCGGCGCCACGATGCTGATCCAGCGCTCCGCGGAGATGAAACCATAAGGAACAACGGGGTTTGAGAACCGGAATCGGACATCCACCGACATCTTTTGCGCGACTGAAACTTGATATCGATTGATGTGGACGAAATATAGACTCCTTATGGGGCAATATGATGACACTTGATGTCGTGCATTGCTACCTTGGGCGAAGGATGTCATTGTGAGCGTTCCACCGATATCATCTCCTGTATGACCGGGTCTCCTTTGGTCCCCATGAAGTGATGCCTGGTACACGCAAAAAAAAGGAAGGTTGCATTTCGTGCTGAACTTGTCTAACCTAGGAGGAGGTCATCATCTCTCTATTTATAGCAAGCAAACATCTGGCAGACTCACACGCGGTATACCCGAAGAGGCGAAGTCGACTACTGAATCCGGGCTCGCCGGGAGTTTTATCTAACGTGGGAGGTCATGGCGAATATCCGCTCGAAATGCAGAAATGCACGTACCTCGAGCGGGCAAGGGAGATGGTGTGATCAGCTCTGGACGGGTCTGGATGATTTCTCCCAGAGATGATTCTCAGAGTAAAACGACCACATGTATTCTTACCGCGTATTTTATGGTACCATATGGAGAATGGTAAACTAAGGCAACTGAGGCAGTCGCACTCTTTCGTCAATTAAAGCGTATTTCGCGTGCGCGGTGGAACCTCTCCAGCGTATAATAGCTACTTGCACATCACGAATTCCTGTCGACTTCCTCAGCATCAATTGGACCGTACTGCAATCAAAGTCTTAAGCTGGCAGGCCCTGTATCTCGGGACTTCCGACGTTCCGTGTCGCGTATCTAAGCTGACAGGCAGACTTACACCGACCGATTTTCACCACAACGTTCCTTTCTCAATGTTTTTGGTACGTAAAGACATGACATGACTATCGTTCAGCGGAAGGGTATAAGATGGCGGTGCGACGCAAAAGAAGACGAAGAGCAATGTGACAACACTATGCAGATGCTTCTGACCCATCACCGCCGGTGTCCTCTTTGAGGAGTACCGTGACCTAGATTCCTACATGGAATTTTTCTACCTTGATGCAACGGGTTGAAGGTCGGTAAATGTATTGCCACACAGGACTAGCTCTTTCGTCCTCCAGACGATGTCTCTCCATGGTTTAACACCATCTCAAAATTGAGCGCTACGCATAAATAAGGAGGCGGCGACGGTCAATACTTAGTTTTGGTTCATCAGTAGCGATCCCCATTGTCGAAGCAAAATATTTTTCATGATGTTCGTTTCGAAAGCTCTCCATGAAAACCTTCATCACCTCGGAGATGGCTGTCAAGTTTTTCTTAACCCGGAAAGTAAGTACTTTTGCGGAATTTGTCTACTGAAAGTAAACTTGGGACTAAAATCCCGGACGCGAATGGTCTGGTCTTAGGTTGCTCAGGTTACCGCTCACGTTCTGAGCGCTACTCGTGCTCTCGGTCTTGACCGACATACATCTGCCTACTCTCACGTCACAGATCTATAACGGCAAGCAGGGAAGTCCGCAGAGTTTTACCGGAGTCACATAACCTACTCACATCGGATGGGGGTCGCTGGTATGGGAGTCGAGCAAGTATCATATACGGTGAACCACCCCGTCATGGACTACCAGGATGCGGACCCTTCCTCACACGAGGACGCGAGATACGCATTTGGTGGAGTTATGCTCCCGTTTCTAATATTAGACTCGGAGCATGATACTGTACGTGATGTTTTTGGAATATTGATGCCAGTGCCTATCACGCCGTGGTGGCGCATGAGGAGGTAGATCACTGTGGGGACTCAGCAATCGTGGTATATGAACCATAGGTGCACCTCTTCCTGCCGCGGTGCCAGCCGTCCATCAAGAATTGATGCGATTTCATCCTAGGATTGCGTCTCATGGGTCGACGCGGTCCATTGCTCCGAGTACATCATCAAGTAAGATTTCTGAGGGTTCGTATGTCCATGGAGAATTTTGGTAGGATGTTGGTCCGTAACCTGCACACGTTGGTCCTGACCGACGCGACGGGCGACGGAGTCTGATTCCATCAGACGCTGCGTTTGAACGGCATCTTTGTAGATCATGTTATGAGGTGCCTTGCACTTAGGGAATATAGTGTTGTACTCTCCCAGGGATTTATATAAAGCTTTCTGGACAAACCAAACTCTATTCACCAGGTTCTCCCTCTAGCCATCAGCTTCGTCCCATCACTATTCCCATCATCAGTCTTCGAATAAAATGCCCTCTGCTCTGCGAAACGCCACCTCTCAATGCCAGCACCGAGATGAGGTTGAGGTCCTCGTTGTGGGTGCTGGTCCCGCAGGTTCCATGTGTGCATATAGCTTGATGAAAGCTGGAGTATCTGTTCGTATCATTGACCAGAAGTATGTCCCCTATTCCTCGTACCAGTAATAAAACCTGATTATCTCTTTACAAAGACATGTAGCGGTGGACCGTGGTCATGCCGACGCCCTTCAGCCTCGTGTTCTCGAAGTCCTGAGGGTGAGTGCCCGGCGCGCTATTCGTTCCTTCCACTCCTCACTGAGATACCCAATATTAGAGTCATGGTCTCATCGACAAAGCGCTCAAGCAGGGAAACAAAATTAATACTACGGTACGTTATAGTTCTATGATACTTTCAAGACGACATGAGTTTCCAATGTACTCGTTTACCAAAGGCAATTTGGCACCCTGGTCCAGGAGATTCGATTCAACGGACTAGTCGTATCCCAAACATCACTGCACCCGGTGGCCTATACCCATTCAATGTATGTACTCTGTAAATTGCTGCCGTATCGCATACCACTCACGCATGAGCTCGCAGCTTACCCATCACCAAGGAACATGGGAGGGCTTATTTACTGATGAGATGGAGAAGTGGGGATATGCCGTTGAGCGTCCTTTCAGGCCAGTTGCGTTGAATCTCAAAAGTGGCGCCGCAGAAGATCCGAATGCATTCCCCGTCACTGTATGTCCCAGATTTGAAGGTCTGAGACGAGCGCCTTGTTAGCTAACTTAGCAAACTGTTCAACAGGTACGCATACAATCATTGGCTTCGGACGCACAGGACGAGTCGGAGGTACATACCATCCGTGCAAAATATCTCGTCGCTGCTGACGGTACGTGTGTCTTACATCTTTCGAGTACTACTGTGACACAACACTAACCGACCGTGCCTTAATTCAGGCGCACATTCTTGGATCCGAAAATCCTTGGGCGTCACTCAGACCGGTGACCGTACAGGTAACAGCAACATATGCTCCCCATCATTGTTCGCGTAACTCACAGAACTTCGAACAGATAGGCGCTGGGGCGTCATTGACTTCGTCCCAAACACGGACTACCCGGACATTCGCTGCACGTCACAAGTGCACTCAAGCTCTGGCTTCTGTCTGATCGTTCCCCGCGAGAACGATATGGTCAGACTGTATGTTCCCTTGGACGACTATGAACAGTACATGGACTCGTCTAAGAACGTCGATCCTGATGGCCTTCTAGAGGTAGTTCTCATCGGATTCTACTACGATTTATTTCTGACACGAATGTTGTTTAGGTCGCCAAAAAGGCATTTCGACCATTCTACATGAATGCCCCTCATGGTTACCATTGGTCGACCATATACACCGGTAGGTCTCTCTCGCTCGCTCGGTCTGTAGTATATGATGTAAATATTGCTGCAGTCGGTCAGCATGTGGCGGATACATTCTCCGTCTCGAACCGCATATTTCTCACCGGAGATGCCGCCCATACCCATTCACCTAAAGCTGGTAGGTCATCTTCCGAGCCCGTAGCGAGCTTTACTTACACGCTTTGCAGGGCAAGGAATGAATGCTAGCATCAACGATGCACACAATATCGGTCGGTGTACTTCATGCTTAACGTGCGAACCCTTCTGATAAGAACACAGCGTGGAAGTTGACTTATGTACTGAGGGGGTGGGCAAGTCGCTCCCTTCTTGACACGGTATGTCCGACTGTTAATTCTCGCATTTCGATATATAATCTGAGCAACATTAAAGTACGACTCCGAAAGACGCAAGTTCGCGCTGGACTTGATTAAGTTCGACAAGCAATATGTCGCAATGTTCGAGAATATGTCACGTTCGCATATAGAGGTTGATCCTCTTGACCACGCTAGGTGAGAGCCTATGACTCTGCCCAAATACGTCGGGATCTGACTAGTGACGGGACAGAACGGTTCAAACCTTCGGCCTCTTTAAGAACGGTATCGGTATCCACTACGGTAACTCGAAGATTGTTTCGGACCAGATGCAGTCGGTCGCTCGCAATCTCATCGTTGGTCGACGATTCCCTCCGGAGATGGTACTTCGCGCTGCAGATGACGAACTCGTGCAGATTCATGATGTCTTGCCCTCCGACACTTCCTTCAAACTGCTTATATTCACGGGTAATATCTACGAGGAGAAGCAGAAGATGCTCGTAAACGCCCTAGCCGACCAGCTCTCTGAGTCTCCTCTCTGTAACCAGCGTCCAATCGGTCAGGGAAGATATATGAAGATGGTGGAGCCTATAGTGATTGTGCGCGGAAAGAAGGGCGAGGTGAGGTGGACTGACGTACCAGCAGTGCTCAGGAATCACTGGTCCAAGTAAGTTGATAACTTCCTTTCTTCGTCGATCAGACCAACGGCTAAATTTCATTTCAGAGTCTTCATCGACGATGTTTGGCACCACGGAGACCAAGGAGGACGGGCATACGAGAACTTTGGCATCGATAAAACAGGGGCTGTCGTCGTTGTGCGCCCAGATGGATATGTGGGACTAGTGACCTCTTTGATGAAGACGCGCTTGATATTCCGTTACTTTAGTACATGGGCTTGCTATCCTTTGTGAAACTGCGTATAGATGTCTGTTGTTTATTTTTGGGTCTTGGTGGGCCCTCGAGTATAGTTAGTTGGTGCATCCTCGCGTTGATGACGGCGGCGGCTCTTCAGGCGAAGAGTTTACTGTTGGCAGCACTCACTAGTAGAAGTCCTATACAGCGGACGAGATCAAGTGGAACCAGAATCTTCAGACCAAGAAGTCTGTATCCAAGGCTCTTACGGCCTCCGATCTCGGAATATTGAGTCTTTTGTGAGCGCCCTTCCCAAAGTCGTTCCGGGCTTGTGAGTCTATCCCTTGTCAATCTTCTCCACGGGCGCTCAGGACGCGTGAGTATGGCTCTCAACTGATCACCTATGGCGCGACGGCCGAACAACCTTCAAACAGTGGATCATCCCTTCTAAGTACCAGTTTCGTCGCTGATTCCAGATCACCGGACTCGCACACTGTCGATGAAAGTCACAGTGGTGCGCCCCATCATTCGAGGCACCCCTCAACCAAACGGACCTTGTTAAACGCGCTACAGTCGTTTGCATATGAAACCCGAGGCGGCGTTTTTCTGTGCGCGCGGAAAGTTGTTTGTCTTATCCAAACAGTCACGGTGAGTCACAGTGTGGCACCCGAGGGCACCATGAGCCACATAGTCAAAGAATGTGGACCAAAGCCTTGCCAAAACCTCGACACTGACATTTGCATCAGTCTAAGGGTGGATAAAGAAGTGCAGAAAATGTTTCATTATGAAATGGGAGCTGTACATTTTACACTATGGGACACAGAACAGTTGTGCCAGTACATGGATGATGATGGACGAGGGCCTCCTCGCAATGTCAAGTTGAGCGCCTTCAATCATTGAGACATCAGCTCAGAACCTACCCACTAGGAGGAGTAGGAGAAAGAGGTACTGATGTTGTACAAGTCCAAATCTGTGTCGGAGGAACATTCACTGGTACTCAAGATGGAAAGCAAGGTCGGCTTGACTTGTTCAAGTCTAACCTGAACTCATTGACAGCTCTGTCGTCGCTGAGAATGTGCAGGGCTGCTTGCAATTACCATGTATATAGTAGGTTCCGAAGATGCTAAGGTGTAAAAGGAAGGTCCAGCACGTTCGAAGCAAGGAGATGCGTACACGGTGTGTACAGTGTGTACGGGCATTGTTCGAAGACTTCGGAAATGTCCGTGGTGACAAGTGTTCGTCACGTATTTGGCTAAGACAAACAACTTTCCACGCGCGCGGAAAAACGTTTCATATGCAAACGACTGTAACGACACTGCGGTAGTTCGCTCTCACCATCCGGTACTTCATCTGCGACAGGTTCAAGCACGTTCAGTGAGTCTCATCGTCCAGGAGTCGAGCTCACATCTCTACTGAGATCAGATGACTGTTAGTGCGAAGGTTTTTCTATAGCGCCTGGCAACGCACCACTCGGGAATGGAAGGCGCGCAATACTTTTGTTTATGACGTCTCGTAGAACATCTCGCAAGCCCATCCGGGATATATCTCCGGAGCTACAATCCACCCTTTTCCTGGCGGAGTAAGAAGTTGATCTGGGTGTCAACCAAGTCTCTCAAAACCTGACGCTCAAACTTAGAGTTAGAGGTGGCTCGGACCAGATGATATTTCTCCAGAAGGTAGCTTCCCGGAATGTCACATTGTACGCCCCGACCGAGTCGGATCCAGAGATGGGAGCAACATAGGCCAAGGATGAAGGCAAAGGACATCATGAGCGATGGGTTTCAAGTCCATGTCAAGACCAGGAAGAACAAAGCCATTGACCATTCCATACATGTCTATATCGAGGCTTGCGTGGCACAACAATCACTTGCAGTACCACACCCACGCAACACTCTCCCGTAGAACGTCAACAGAGTATGAGTCTTCGTACCCACTCTCGGCGTCCGCTAAGGGACGAGGAGCCCTTGTAGAGCCTGAACCTCAGCTCCGACGTCAACTTCGCCAAATATGTGTATGTCGGCAGCAGCGCCCAACAACACAAAAACACAAGCCAAATTGTGACCTCATGCATACACGTCCATCCGTGTTGGATGAATTGAGTGGAGAAAGAATCGTGACGCTGATCCGAATCGCAAAATGGAGATCCTAGCGAACAGAAAGATTTGAGTAGGGGTTTTATGATACGGCCCCAGAGCTCATTTCTGCCTGGTCAGAGATTGCTCCACCTCGAGCGCCGGCCCCGCAGAAGACGAAGCCAACAGCGTTCGGCTTATTCCGCCCTAGCCCTCGCATGTTGGTGACAGCACCCCAGCATCTATTATCTTCTATAAACTTCGTGATAGGCAACGTAAGCAATGCTTGGATAGAATCCCCTGAGAAATCTGAAGAAAGACAGCCCGAAATAAGGAGTGGACAAGGGGCACTCGATACAGAGCGCGGCGCGAAGCCTCTCGTGGGAGTGTGGAACCCAGCGCCACTTTGATCTCTGGGCTCATAAAACTCTGCCCCCCAAGTCATCGAAACGCCCGTATCATAAAACCCCTAGTACGCACTTCACACGGAGCAGGAGCTGGAGGACCGATAATTTGAGCGCTATGAGGCATATAGGGAGCGCCAGGTGGGTCTATGGTTAGGGTTGCAAGCTCCAGAGTTTCTTTCATCGCCATGATAGCAGACATTGGCCTTCTGGCCCTACGCCACAGGGTATACTAACAAGACAGTTAGGATACGAAGGGTAGCGAGACGAAGTGCACGGAGAACCCTAAGTATGCATTCAGAGCGATCGACGAACGTGGCGGGGTGTGCTCGGCGCGGAAAGCTGACGGGAGCTCGGAGCCAGTAAAACGTCGTGGATATCCGCGCAGCCCAGTGTATAGAGGGATTTGGGCCTCTCTTTCGGTACGAGGGGGAGAGGGAAGGAGGTCGCCCGCATGTCGCAAGCGCCGAAGGCAATGTCGTTAAAGACATGTACTGACAGACAAGCGGTGCTTGGCAGCCTTCGATAATGGAACAATGACAATATGATCGCGATAGGACAGAGGAATATGTACCACGGAGGCAGGGGATAAGGTCTTGTATGTAGCCAGTGCCAGACTGAATTCCAAGAATGAGGCATGCTCAGTGCTGTCTCTTTTGTAAGCAAGCCCCCAGCGCCAGCCGTGGTCGATAAGAGTGGAACATTAGCTTCACTGTGCACGATCTCGTCCCAATGAGCTCCAGTGCCAACGACCGAGCAAGTTAGAATATGCTACATACGCCAGCTCGGAGGGGAAAGCCAGAGAGTATAGACCCATTTCCATGCGTGGATGCAGCTCTGAGGACGGACTCGACAGTGGCGGTCGTCCTCAAGCCGTCCTCATGATGGAAGTTCGAAAGAGAGCGGTTCCGGAACCTGCCGAAGAGCTCGCGCCGCTGTTGCAGACGACGGATCTGCGAATTTGTTTTCTACGCTCATCTCTTCCTGCTTTCTTTCCGCTCACCTCCATGTTACTCTTCTGTACGAGCTGCGATAGTATAGCTGGACCAGCGAGGGGAAGTTGAAGCCGCATGAGAAAGCGTCCAGGCGTTCCTCGTGATGGCTTCGTACCCTCGTTTCGATTCTTCTCGACCTGAGGGCTCTGCCGACCTCGTCTCACTTTCATTACAACCACATCCTCCTCCTTTGCTCGAGCATTGCCCGACCTTTCCTCTCATTCTGAACTTCGTTTGAAACATCATATACCTCTCAATCTCAAGACTGCGATATCACAGCTTGCGTACTAGCCAATCGTACATGACATCCCCACGACCGTGGAAAGGACAACAACGCGCCTCTAGATCGGGTTATTCAAGGAAAGTCGAGTGGGCCAATGCTACTGTGGATGCTGGACCTAAGATTGGACGGAGAGATGTGGCAGAGGGCGATGGAGGAGAGAACGGGATCGTACTACCGTTGGACATGATAGGAGATGGGCTCTATGAAGTGTGAGCGTTTACATTCGTACTTTTACTTTTGTATCCACACTCCCCTTTTCCTTCTCCATTTCTGCGTATCACCGCGACTGTGGTTGCTTTGTAGTGAGACACGTCGTCTTTTGTGCTGTTGTGTAGGATCCCAACCTTGTTTGGATGAGTGGATGCATCGACAGTTTCACCGGAACTCTGGTAGAAGTTCACCGACAATCATTCCTGTTCTATACTCTACCATCACCTGATTTTCTCGAACTATGGCAACTATCCATTCAATTACTCAATGAACGCCGTCAGAATGCCTTCATCGGGCGATACCCTACTTTCCCTCTCCCTTTCACTGCTGGCCATACCGAATGTACGCGCAAACCTTGGGCAATTCGGCACCGACCTTCATATCTATGCTAGCTTGTCGTGCTTTTCGACTTGAAGTTTACCGTTCTTTCGGTTTGCGGACAATTCGTTGACCTTCTGCTAATTACTTCTGGTACGCCTAGAGTCTATACTGTCGCTATCAGCGTGGGCCACAATAATCAAAACATGAACATTCAAGTCGACATGGGCTCCTCCGACCTCGTGGGTTTCGTCTTGTTTCGTCTCTTCACCTCTTTTATATGGACTGACCTATCTTTACCCTACTTTGATAGTGGCTTGCATCAAAACAGTGCAGTTCCTCCGCATGTTCGTCAATCAGCGGACAACTCTACGATCCTTCAACGGGGACGGCGGCGAACAAGCAGTTTAACATCAATTATCTGGAGGGCAGCGTGAGTGGTCCGATATATTGGGATCAGGTCACAATTGGAGGGTATACCGTATCGAACCAGGCTCTAGGCGAGTCTCGCCCTTTCGTTTACTCTCCACTTGCGCTTATTCCATCTCGTTTTATGCTATTCAGCCGCTGCCACAACCGTCGATTCCGAACCTCTCGGATACAATTTCGACGGAATTCTCGGTCTGGGTCTCCCTCTCAACTCCGTCATCACCCAACAACTTCCACAAACGACTTCCAACTCGCCCGATGGTACTGTCCTTGCTATCAAACTCTTCGGCTCATCAACCTCTCCGTCCTCCCCATCATCCCGCTTCATTTCGGTCTCGTTCTCTCGCCCAGGCTCCTCATCACCCTCGTCTTTCCTCGGAATAGGTCGACATCCGAGCGATGTAGTACCAGATCCTTCCAAGATCACGTATACGAGGGTGCTGGCAGGGAACTCGGGTGTCTATCTCTGGAGGAGTAACGTCAGGGCGCTCAGCGTGTGGGTGGATGGCCAAGAGAGAGCGATCACGCTCGGAACGGGCAAGAGTGGCAGTGTGTTTCCGAGCGCGGTGCTGGATAGCGGGGTGCCTGTGATCTTGACGAGTACGACAATTGCGAATGCAGTCTATGGGGCGTTAGGTATAGCGCCAGCGAGCGACGGGAACTGTGAGTTTCTGTTTTCACCACCACTATGATTCGAGTAAATGTTACTCTGTCCATGGATGGGAGTCGCGCTGACCCGTACGATTGCCGATAGACTACGTACCTTGTACTACTCCACTCAACATGACCATCACACTCGACAGCCAACCAGCAACAATCCTCCACCCGCTCGATCTTACCGCCTATCCTTTACAATCCGGCTCCACGTCCACCACTGGCACCTGCATCGGCCTCATCCAGACCGCGAACGGGCAGATGGACAACGCTAATAATGGGCTCGACGACTTCATACTCGGTGTTCCCTTCCTGCGAAACACATATACCGTCATGGCGTACGAAGCTCCCGATTCGAACGGCAACTTTGGTGGTAGCAATGCGGGCAGTGCTATCGATGCGAGATTGGGGCTGTTGAGTTTGACGGAGCCGACAACGGCGCTGGACGAGTTTCATACGGTGCGGGTGTTGAACCAGCCGTTGAGCGGGTCGGGTGGGGCGGGATCGGCGGCGGGGAGTAGTGCTGGAGATAAGAAGCTCGGAGCCGGGCTGATTATGTTGATCGCCTTCCTCAGTCTTTTCGGGGCCTGTTTGGGCTTGTTTGGGGTGAGGTGGTGGGTGAAGAGGAGGCGGTGGAAGAGGGTGAAAGAAACGGATGACGATGCAGATATGTTCGGAACGGGAGGATATGTGAGGATGGGTGCGATGGGTCGCTCGGGGTACAGCCTAGCTGACTTGCAGGGGACAGGTTCGCTGGCCAGGAGCAGGGACAGGGACAGCGAGTTCGAGAGTTCACCCTTCATGCGAAGATCATCAGGAGACAACTTTGGCCATGAGAGGTCGCAGAGTAGCGTCAGTGTTACAGAGCCTCTGCTTGCACGAACGAGGAGTGGGTCGAGGATACAGGTCCACGGTGAAGATGGTAGCCTTATCTCCGATATGGATCCTTCGACGGGGACGATGGGGCCTGTTATTGTGTCTGCGGGAGAGAATAGTATGCATGCACGAACGGCCAGCAACGGGAGTACAGGGAGTAACGCTTCATTGAGCGGTACTCGAAGGCCTGGCAGTTCGGTGTCAGGGTTTGGGGAGGGCGTGAATCCGGGCATGTTGCTGCCTCCTTCACCTCTAAGTCCGAGGTTTCCGAGAGTTGCGCCTTCGCCACCGCCACTAGAGTATTCTTGATTAGACAATGTCTCGGTGCTTTCTTTCTCTACTGCTACGTCTTCTCTCCTATGCCGTCTCATACTCATATATCATGATACATCCTATTCTTACTGGGGAGGGCGAATTTATCATTAGCTCTCACCTCATCGACCATCATTCATCCGTCTGTCGTTATCCGTATTCGTCGCTGCTATTGTCCTCGTTTTCGTTTTCTCTATACTCCATCATCATCATCATCCCCCCCTTTTTTTTGCCATGACCTCGATATCTTATCGATTACTTTCATCCCCACTGGAACACCGTATCAACCTCTTCGGACTCGCTTACTGATCCAGAATATTACTGTCGACAGCCACCTTTGCTTGCTTTCGGAATCACATTATATCCTGCTCACCTTCTTGTATATGTACGTGCGCTCATATCGTTCTTCGATGTCTATATATACCCTTGCTGCCCGCGTATAGTTCATTGTACGACTACCATTTGGGAAAGAATCCATGTGTGATCACCGGTGCCACCGCGTCTGTTAGATGCAGGGCAGGCAATATGGTGAAGACACTCTACGTCGCAACGTATGTAGGTAGTCTTCTTCAACAGCCACATTCTCCTTCATCTCACGTTTATAATTTGTAGTACGCCTCGTCTTACCTCAGTACAATACTCTCCGTCTCGGGAGGCTCGGTTCTGTGAGTATTTCCCCGTGGTTGGTTGTTTGTGGAGAGGGTCGGAGGGTGGCTCTGAATCTACAGTGAGAGCGTACGATCACAGGCGAAAGATGACACCTCATAGACATAGACACCTCCGCGCGTTTGGTAAAAATAACAAAATAATGGGCGCACGCTCGTAACAATCCGCTAAGTAGTTCGTACCCTTCCGTCCTTCACAACACAGACCTTCGCTCACTCAAACAAATTGAAAGGATCATGTCGCAATTTTTTCGCAGCACCGTTCAGATGGTTATCAAGGAACTTGCAAAGTGATTCGAGTGCGTCTTCTGCTCCCGGGGACACAAGTCATAAGTGAGCTCTAAGAGATTCCTTGGGCCGCACTCACCTACGACTGCGAGTTTATCTTCGGAGCGCAGCCAGCTGTAATCAAATTTAAGCTTGTCCGCATCCTTTTCGGTCGAGCAAAAATATTTGAACGTAGATCAACGGATCATCCAGCTTATAGAGTAAACATCGAGTTGCTCACTATACAGATGGTGAATAGATTACGATCAGCTTCAGACATCAACCGCAGTTGGGGAGAAATTCGACCGCCTTAAGCTTCGCGCGCGTGACTGCCTCGAGAAGAAGTTCGGCGGCATCTCCAATGGTCTTGTAATCTTTCTGTGGTGTACTGAACGTTAATAGGAGGGTTCACGAAATTTGAGCGACATATTACGCACCGTCTGCATCGATGCTTGCATGTTGTCCCAGGCCGGCTGTATGATGCTCAAACGTTGTTGGACGAGCTTTTCCTCGTCGGGCCCCAGAGCGTCGGGAAGCGGGTCAGACAGGTGAGCACGTCTGTATCTTTTGTCTGCGAACATGGTGATCGATGGTTTACATGGTGTGTACCTTCTACTTATTGCAGTATAAAACTATATTCTACAGAATTCAAGCTCCGCTGAAACCTTTGCGAAACTCCTGACTTAGCGTGCAGCCCAGACAACTGAATATCTCCACGGATATCGACGCTGCAAATGTGCTTTCACTTCGCTTCTATCTCGATGATTCCTCACGCACGCCTGAGCTGAACACATAGGTATCGCGTAATCGTATGATATCCATCATTCCGACCAGAGGCCGTATCTCGCCATGATCAATATAGAAAACAGATCTACATGATGGCGGGCGTGTTGAGCGGAGAGGTCGGCGACGTCTTCCAGTTCTTCTATGGCTTTCACAAGGTCGGATATCGCTGTAACTCACACTATCAACATTTTAACAGGGTTCAGACAGTTCGTACACGCTGATTCACGACGCAGATGAATATACTGACGTAGCTGCTTCCGCATAGCAGGATCCGTTTTTTGCACAAGAGAATAACGAAGTTCCTCCAGGTTCTGTGATAGGAAGATGAGTCAGTATAGCATGTAATGGAGGTAAACGTGCGATGGGAAGAAGCTAGTATTCGTGACATACCATCTGTGCCTGGAGCAACGCTATATCATTATCGGAAGGAACATGGCCGAAAAAACGCGACTCCTTCGCCTCATATTCTCTAGACAAGTCACTTTTGACGGATTTAAGCCTTTCGATTACAGAGTACAAGCTTGTGCGTCGTTCCTACGTAGTCAAAATGATGTAGATGATGTGGTTCGTTGATGGAGTGGAGAACATACATTACAGGGTTTTGCATAAGAAACCGGAATGTCGCGCGCAGAAAAATCCTTTGTGCCTGAACCAAACAAAGCCATAAACGGCAGCCTTTCACGGCATTCCTCGGCAGGATTCGTGTGGCACCAGGGATGTATGCCCCTGTTCTCGAGCGTTTCGATATTGCAAACTCTTCATCCCACTGAGACGTGCTCAGCAGTGGTGAATTTGTGATCATATCCGTGACTACTGAAGTACATAGCAGCCAAGTACAAAATACCCGGTATAAAAGACCTCGACGGGATATTACCACAACGTCAACCCTCAACGTCGAAGACGCAGACGTCCAGCCTGAGCTGTCATTCTACACGACTCGAGTCTCGACCTCTACCGGCATCACAGGACACCCCCGATCATCCTACTCAACCATTCTATGTATGCATCTGGTCTCGAAACTCGTGAAAGCATGAACTAGCCACCCTGTAAAAGTACTGAGACATTACAAAGCAGAGGGCCCATGTCTCGGAGACATAGCGGGACGGGAGGGCATCGCGAGCACGATGGCCTGGAGCAACGGGTTTCCGAGCTGATTCCACTGAAGCAAAATCTGGCACACGCAATTGAAAACGAACCGAACAACCACCGGTTACTCACTCCTGACGCTTTGCCCAAGGAACTTGATGCTCTGTCGTTTGTAGGACAGTTCAGGACACGGACAAGGTAGTGTCCCGAGTGCGAGGAGAAGAGGAGGTGCGATCAGGTCAGACCACAATAAGCCTAATGGTGAGAAGAGACTTAGAAAAGACGCACCCTTCCGACACACGCAGATGATCAAGCTTCCCAAACTAGCTTCTTACAAAAACATCACTCGCATAGATAGCGTGGCCGAGAGCGCGAGATGGAGCGCGAATGCTTGCGACTGCCAGAGCAAAGAGTTGGTGTTGATGTCGGTGCAAATTTGTTGGGGACTCCTGGAATGAATACCGAGCGTATTGATGATTGCGAGAGTAAATTCACGAGAATACAATGAGTAAGGTATGTGTTGGAGAGCGTGGTCCCGTATGAGGTGGGTTCGAGCACTAGGGAGCGTATGAAGCGGTCTATGAACGACGATGTGGGGTGCAGAGATGAGAAGGCGCGCCACTGCCGAAACCTCGCCGAGAGCGGTTACCATTTACGGCTTTGTTTGGCTCAGGCGCCCAGGATTTTTCTGAGCGCAACATTCCGGTTTCATATGCAAAACCCTGTAAACCAAGCGGCGCTGTGCTGCACGACTTCCGGCGTTTCCTCTCTTGACTCCATTGGAGTCTGAAATGTAGACCCAGAGGCATCAGTGTAATTTGTTGGTGATGATCGGGTGTCTCTGTACTCACCTTCTTTATCCCTGTACAAGCCACACCTGGCGCATCCTTCACATCAGGCAGAATCTGCGTCGATTAAAGTTGTCGACGAGACGATCTGATGAGAAAAACAAAGTGTACTCACATATCCAGTGTGTCTCTTCACCGTGTCCAACGCGTCTGAGAGGGCCTTGCTTACCTTCCCCGTATACTCGTCTGATTCAACTGTCGGATAAACTGCCAACTCGATCTTCGGCGCCGTATAGTTACATTGATTCTCAAGGAACTCCATGGATGCTAGGTCAGGTTGAGTGTGTCGCTATCAAGAGGGTTACGGGCGAAAACTATAGAAGATCTTCCAATTTATATAGACGTCCTGGGAAGTCCTGATACAGCACATGACATCATGGCAACACTATGCTTTCTCTTCGCTGAAATATGAAGCTCAGCAGACTAGAAATGAAGATATTCATCCGTCGATAAGCATCGATAATGCGCAAAAGAGGGGATACGCACTGGAATGACCTCCGTACCAGCCCTACAGATGGCCGCCCACCCCGAGAAGCAAATGTGCGATGGCACCCTTTGGAAGGTGGCAGGGGAAGAGCTCCATGACTTTCGACGCAATATATTCGCACTGGGTGACCAATAAAACCTCTTACTAGTGCAGCATACTCGGGACCGCAAGAGACGTGGGACGAGAAATTTATGAGCGGTTGTTATACCCGTCACAAAGTGTGCACCTCGACTTTCCTTCAACACTCCCATTCACAAAACAAGCTCACCAAGAACGTACAGATTGGATAAGCCTCGAGAGTGTTCCACAGATAGTGCAGTGTTGTAGTCGTGTGTCTGCGGCGTTTGTGCGGCGTAATACGTAGTACAACGACAGGTGTGTATCTGACATGAAGCAGACAGCCAAAGCCACCGGAGGATTATAGTCAAAGAGAGCAACACACCCCCCTATGTCGAAGCTGTTATACCTGCCCAAGAGCGAGGACCAGTACTGATAGAGTGAGATAATTGCTAAGTAGTCGCAGATGTACTCTACATTGTCGAAGATCGGTCATTCAGCGCACAGCATTCGAAGTTCGGATGAGACGAGGATTCTCATCGGCTATTGTACGGCCGGATGCCGAAGGCTTTAGAATTCAACAAGGACAAACAACCGTCGGGCATCGCCTTTGTGCTCCTCTGACCCTCCCGCACCGCTTTCTATCACAACTGAACGTTGAACCTCTAACTTGTGGTCGGTTCCGCAGTTTCTCAGCCTCCGCAGAAAAGAAGCAGACAGCTTTTTTTTTTCCAGATATTGCTTGTGGAAGTTTATAATCACACTAAGGCTCTCGTTTCAATGTCGTCGCAAGCCTCGTATGGATCGCTTTCCTCGTCGCTGAATATGCTACAGTCCCTCTTCTATGCATAGTACGAATCTACTCACCAACTTTCTCGGCGACTTCTACACAAATGTTAAACCTTTTGCTGTGAGCTCCCCGACGTCACTCCTCCGCAGGCTCCCTCGGTCTCGCCCGCTCCTGTCCGCTCCCGCCGTCGACCGTCGACGTCACAGCCTCCGCAGCTCCTGTCTCTGGAATTTGTCTTACAACCTTGGAGCTCCTGATTTTCGCGCAGTATATAGCTAGGGCGCTATAGTGCGTTTTTTGTCTCACTTATTCGCACCTTCACCACTACCACCACCACCGCCACTACCACCACCACTACTACCACACATCTACCACATCGCTCGTGAACGAACGTCCGTCTACGAAACACACATCACAAACACAAACACACTCACGCACACTCGTCGACTTACTCCTTTCTCAAACCACCCATCATGGGAAATCATCATTCACGACACAACCAACACGGTCCTGGTGGACCCATGGGAGGCATGGGAGGCATGGGAGGTTTCGGAGGCGGCGGTGGAGGCCACCAGAGCGGTCTCGGCAGCCTCGTTAACATGGTCGGAGGAAGGCGGCATCACGGGGGAGGAGGATTTGGCGGAGGAGGAGGAGGTTATGGCTACGGCGGTGGTGGTGGAGGATACGGTGGCGGAGGACCAGGCATGGGCGGAGGATTTGGAGGACATGGAGGACATGGAGGAGGATTCGGTGGTCCGGGAGGTGGATTTGGTGGTCCGGGAGGGCCTGGAGGACATCATGGTGGTGGAGGAGGATTCGACAGACCAGGAGGTGGTGGATTTGGGGGTCCAGGAGGAGGACCTGGCGGAGGATGGTAGGCGTGCATTGTACGCTTGATTCTCGGGCGCTCAGGTGTGCGTTTTGTTGATTTGCTCTGGTTAGTTCTTGTCCGTTCTATCGTACTGTACATCTCTATTGTCGTCGGAGTTTTATCTATGATGTATGATAAATCAATGCGTATGAAACATGAAAGAATCTCGCGTTCTTTATCACTTTCCTTGCTAGAGCATGTTTTGCATGCCTGACGACTGTTCTTGCGGTGTATCTGCAAGGAAGTCTGTCTGTCATATTTGAAGTCGAACGCGCCACACTTTGATAAGACGCCGCCACAGGAGCTCAAATGGTCGGACCCGAGCAGGCGGCTGGGCTGTACACCGCCTCTTCCATCATCTGTCCTGCATCAAAGCCATGCAAGTGCACGTCGTCGGTGTACAAGCGCAGGTTCGGTGAGGTTTCGACAGACTTTGCAGATATGCTATGCACCCGTACGTATCCTCCTGTGTTCCTTCTCGGTGAAATGTGGACTTCCTCACGTATTTCTTGCAGGTGTACTCCGTCGTTCTATTTTTGAGATGTATATGGCACAGGTTCACTCGAACGGACGACATATGAATCCGTGCGAGAGCGATTGATCACTGCGATCATTTCGTGCACCTTCCATAGGTTACTAGCGCGGCTCGATCTTATTCAGTATAGCAGGCAGACGCTCGAGGGGTATAAAGGTTGGTCATCTTGAGCATGTCCCACCGTATCTATCCATCATCCCCCTACCCCCCATCACTTCGCTCACCAGAACTTTGCTTCTCATCGAACGACAACGATGGCAATAAACGAAAAGCTGGAGGAATATTCGAGTCAGAAACACGACGACCATGAAGGACCGGAATACCTTCCTCCTCCACCGTCATACTACGAGAATGCGCCGGACCGTTTCGTGGGCGGTATGCGGCGCCCTTCTGACGAAAAGGGTTCTCGTCCTCCCCATGGCTCACAGTATAATACCCCTTACAACAGTTCTCCTTCCGGTACGACCGCTCGAGGTCTGAACGACCAATATTTCAGTCCACCCGCCTCTGCGCCTCCATATCAAAACCAATACGCCGCACCGTCCTACCCTCCACCGGATAACCCACAATACCTTCGTCCCACCCAATCATACTCCGGTCCCTCTACCTCCAACCCTCACCATTCCTACTCTCCCTCTACTCCTTCATCTCCCAACCTTCGTCCATCTACGTCTCACACGCCTTCCGCAGACACGACCAATTCCGCCTACCCAGGCTTTACCTACGCTGGAAAAGCTCCCGCCCAGCGCGATCCCTTCAACCCCCCTCCGTCCTGCTTCTCTCGTACACCACCTCCACCTTCTCCAACTACACCATACACTCCTCTCCCCCACATGCTGCGCATCCGCTCCGCAAACGCCTCCGACCTAGCCTCCGGCTTCCTCCCCATATTTCCCTCCCCACCTCTCCTCATCGCACACGACGTCCAGCCCTCGGACGTCTCCCGACTGCTCGAAGACTGTCACCTCATGGGCAAACTGAGCGTCGGGCAGCACGTCGTGAGTGGCGTCGCGCCGATCCTGATGCACTTGGGATTCGCTGGTTTTTTCGTAGGGAACGCGATGAAGAAGGGTATGAAGAGGAGAAAGGTGGAGAGTGTGAAGGATCTGGTGAAAGTCTGGGACGACGAGTTCTTTAGGCCTAGGGGCTTGAGGATTTGGGTGCAGAGGGGGGATATGGCTGGGACGCCGGGTGGGATGGGGATGGCACCGGGGATGGCACCTGGGATGGGCATGAACATGAACGGTGGTGGGATGGGCTACGGTCCCGGTCCTGCTCCAGGGATGCGTCCGACTCGCGAACAGTGGCGAGCAAGTGGAAGACACGACGCAGACTACGACAGCTCTAGCTCTTCAGACTCGTCGGACTCGGACTCGGACTCCGGACATGGCCACAAAGGGAAGGGCAGGGCTGACGAACACGCTCACGGACATGGTGATATGGGTATGGGTGGCGGTCGGCCGGGCATGGGCATGGGTCCTGGTTTCGGTGGTGGTCTAGGAGGCCGGATGGCTATGAGCGAAACCATGTTTGATCGTCGTACGGAGATGATGGGTGGCGGCGGGGGTCGAGCTGGAATGATGGGCATGGGTATGGCGGCTCCCATGAGCCGCCGTGAGGCGAAATGGGAACGTCGAGAGATGAAACGGGAGATGCGTAGCGAAAGGAGAGAGATGAAGCGCGAGAGGAGGGGGGAGAGGAGGCAGGATAAGACGGAGAGGAGGGCGATGAAGAGGGAGAGGAAGGTTATGAGGAGGGTGGAGAGGACGGTAAGTGTTTTTCATATATATCTATCGCTATTTCTTTCGGACTGGTGCTCGTCATGGAACGTGATACTAAACGAGTTTTGTCGTCATAGGGCCCCGTCTACCTCGTTATCGCCAATGCTTGAGGTCTCAAGAACCCGCAACTGTCGACGATGAGAGCTATTTATAGACCCAATGTGGCGACTGTCGTCACTCTGCTTCAATTTACTGTACCAGAAAACTGCTTATTATCTTTCTTTCCATTGATTGACATGGACGCTTTCGCCCTGTTATCTGTGTCGTCTCTGTCGCCAACTATCCATATCTAGCCAGACAAATCTGATGTATGCATGTTACCCATCTACTTCAGCCGTGACTTCGTCGGTATAACTCCGCAGGTGGACTGTCGAGCAATTCTCGCAAAGCGATTCTCCGCAGATATCATCCCTTCGGATTCTCCATGCTTCAGGCTAAGCAGTTTTTCAATGGCTCACCTATCGCAATACTATGTACGTTCGTCTCCAACCATTCTGTGACGGAGATGCACATAAGTACGCCACCAGTGGCGCAGCAGAGCAATAATGTATTCGGACCGACAATAACTTACAACAACAGCGTACAAACAACGCTAATCCAAACATACCGCAACCGAATGAAATCTTCGGGAGTATGAACTGTAGGAGGCCTGCTTAACTCGGTGCCCTTTGCAAAGGCGACCCGACCTCCTTCAGATCCGTCTCCCATCCAGGAATCGCACTATCCTCGACATCATGCTCCAATCCTGCCTTTGCCACCTCGAATGCCTTTATATGGCCGTGTCCGTCCATGTGTCCGTTCACGTCAACCTCCTCTGCATCCGAATCAAACCCACCCTTCTCCGTATCCAGATCCATGTCCAAACTCGCAGCCTTGTTTCCAGCATTACGAGCCTCATCTTTGACGTTTCCACCGCCGTACCCTTTCTCGATCGACGACCTCGTCATGAACGAGCCCGCATAGCCTTCGTAATACGGATCGCTACCGACGGGGAGATCGATGGTGGTCTGAGGAGAGATGGGGCGTGGGGACGAGATTAGGAATTTCGGGATTATAGAGCGGGGTGGGAGGATCTTGCGGGTGCAGGAGAAGAGGATTGTGTTCGTGAGGCCTATGGTGTGGCGTCGTTAGTGCATTAGTGATAAGAGATGCAAGGAATGAGAGTACATACCAGAGAGGAGATAGACGGTATCGCTGTGAACGAGAGCGTCAGTGACCAGGTATGATTAGGCGTTACAGAGATGGACGGACCAAAAGATGGTGACGGCGAAGGGGACGTTGTCGGTATGGCTGAACCACATTGTGAAACGCGCAGCAGTGATAGGCAGGATGATGATCGTGTACGCAATCTGTCAAAGACCACCAAGGGGATCAGTATCGCGAGAGTTAATGATGAGATACTGGTTGACGTACAGGATACCTATGAAAGATGAACCACCGTAGCCTTTTTGTTAGTTCCATGAAATCATCGTAAACCAATACAAGAAAGGGGACAAGAGGGGACAAAACGGAAGGGAGGCTACACACATGAGCATCTGTCTAGAAATGACCATCAGATGACTATCCCTCTGCTCTTTCTCAACTCCCCGCCACGTCGCATCGACTTGGTGCCATCGAAATCGGAGGTGCCACCCATATACGATGATGTTGCCTCGCAGGCGAAGGAAAACAAGGGAATAAAGAATGAAGCTGAAGACGGAGGACATGAGCATCTACAACAACGGAGAGGCGAAGTTAGATTGAGAAGTTAGGGAGAAAGTGGGTGGGAGGCGTATGTACGATCATATAGTCGAGCCTAGCACAGAGGGCGACGGTCAGAAAGTCATATTGCTACAATGAAATGTGCAACAAACTCACGTTACTCGTTGTTCGTCATACTCTTGTGCTATCCAGCACCATTGGCCAGCGATCCCATCTAAACATGAAAGCAGCTGTGAACTTCTTGCTCCACGAGACTCGGTCGTTTATGCACCTACAGAATGGTCCCCTATGTTCTGTATCCATCGTTGCAGGGCCAGCTATCACGACAGCGATGATTGATGACCATGTACCGATCAGTGTACCCCACATTGCGATTTGTTTGAGCGGTAGGCGGAGGAAGAGGACACAAAATGTGTGAAGTGCGATTATCTAGAGTAGCATCAGCCTAAATTCGATTGACGCAATGAAAAGTATGCCATAAACTATAGAAGGACGTACGAAAGACCTGAAGTGCGTGTTCCATGGGTGAGCAAACTATTTGTGTGAAAAAGACACGACGCACATACCAAAAGGCAATCCCAACATCTGCGACTTGTTTGATGACACCTGCGACACGGTTCAGACAGTCTATCCTAGGGAATGTCCAGACGAATAGCACAGGTACCGACCTTGAGCAATACACAGAGACCCATATTCGACCGCCATGTTTTGGATCCAGGCAATGTTCATCAGTGACCCCACAGCTGTACAAGCGCCCGAGAATTAAACATCATCGAGATCGAGAGCCGTCAGGGTTCAGATCCTTTTCCGCCCGAGGAACCTAGAGCACGAAGGAAGCGTACCTTGGAGCAAGTCGCAGCATAGTAGACAGACAAAGTATACAACGACGTGCGTACGGACGAACAGGCCTGGTGTTTGATCTTTGCGGGTGTTGAACGCGGAAAGCTGATGTGGGCACGAACAATCCAGTATCAATCCATGATGCCAGCAAGAGGATGCAGTTGTGTGGATGATGGAACGTACTGCAATGATAGTCAGCAGCCCAAGAACTGCAGTCGCCGAGATAGAGGAGACGACGACGAGACTCTGCGCGTATACACACCCAAGGCTACGATTAGTCCCAAATCTGTAGCACTCGATCAGCACATGGGACATACGATGACCCCGTGGGACTCTGGAGGAGAGTATGAGACAGCGATGAGGAAGTTGCTTCCGTTGAAGTTCGAGTTGTCGGTCGATAGGGACATCTCGAGTCCTGAAAAAGGGTTCAATAAACGATAACAGAAGAGTGTTGCCAAGGGCTCTCTAGAAGCGCGGCAGAAGGAATATCTTACAAAAAAATTACGGGAGGACCGGCCTCAAAAGAACGAAGGTAAGAGTCAAGATTGTTATCGAAGAAGGAAACGGCACAAGACAGAGAGATCAGCGTGAGGACCAGAGGAAGCCAAGACAGCCACGAGACACGGGATCTGTGGTCGGCAAAAGCAGCGATGGAGACAAAACGAGTGCAGTGGGCCCCTGGCGGGCTCGCTAGAGTACATATGGTGACGGTCATCCGTTATAGTGCCTAGTTTGTGATCATGGAGGTTGATACCTCCGGTGAGGGGCGGGATTCCAGAGTATGATGGGGGCAGCATCTTCACGGAGGCGCTGACTGGATGATGTCGCCCGGAAGTTGGATCGCCGTTGGCAGTGTAAGTTTGCTTTCGGGTCAAGTCTAGAGGAAGAGATGAAGAAAAAATTGAGCGAACAAGCTGTGTGAATGTGAATACAAGTGAAGCGGTGCGATCTATGGACGTACAGAAAGCCGGTTCTCCTAAGCTATGACTAACGCCCACGATCTGCTCATCGTTCGTGAACACGCGAGGGAAGGGGCCGGTTCTTCTAGTACCCAGGGTTGACCCAGGGTGCGGCGGCTGTGAGTTGAGCTCGCGAGCGACAACATTTGAGAGAAAGGACGGGAAAATGAGAATGTTCATCAAACCTGTGATGCTGGTGCTGGTGCGCCGGTAGATCTCTTGCGTAGCGATGCACCGAGACCGCCGACCGTGTGGAGAGAGCGAGAGAATGAACGTTACATTCCTTAACGTTAGTTTTTTGCAGGCTCTGCCAGCAAGGAAATTCTTGAACCATGGGTTTGTGTGTATGTTTCATCTCATGCTTACCGGGTTTGGGTTCTGGCTTCTGGTCTCAGTTTCCGAGTATTTGGCTTCTCATTTCATATTCATTCTTACTTCGCCTCGGCCTCGTGTTACTGCTTATGCTTGTACGCTCGTCTCTCGTCTCGATCGTTCCCGCTTTGCATTTGTTCTAGGTTAGGGTTGTAGGCTCGTCGGTTTTTCGCTCTCGTCCGGTTTTTCCTCTTTCCCTCAGCCGTCCATCTTCCGTACGACTGAGGTGAGTTTTACGGACGCTCTCGTTTACCGTTTCATATCGGACTCATTATTTACTGTTGTACCTAGACATTCTCCGTTTCTTCTAGGTACCGTGATCTATAAATAAGGAGCCGTCCATCTTCCGTACGACTGAGACATTCTCCGTTTCTTCTAGAGCTCGCCGTTCATCAGGTTATGGGCCATTGTTGACGCACGCTGCCATCAAGAAGAAATATCAGAACGCCATCGTTAAGAGAAAGATTTATATTCGCCTAAAAT